ACACACACACACACACACACACACACACACACACACACACTCTCACACTCAGCGGTCCAGCTTGACCCACTTCAGTGCAGGTAGGACAGCAGTTACTTCCTGTTAATGGTCGCCCGCAGTGAGCGGCGGTGAGATGGCGGCGTTATGAAACGAGGAGCGTGTGTGAGGTCACTCTGTGCTCGTTATCAACAATCATCTGATCAGCTTCCACAAAGACACAGACGAGTAGGTCACACGTTACAGCACTTCCTGATCTAATTTCCTCGTCTTTCTCTCATCCTTGTTTCCTCTCTCCTTCCTCATATTATCCTTTCCATTCTTTTATCCTTCCTTTTCCTCTACTTTTTTACTTTTTTCCTTTTTCATCTTGTACGTGTCTTTTCTATTTCAACTCTCCTTCCTCACTTTCTTTCTGCAGATTTCTCCTCCTCTCACTCCTTATTTCCAGTCTCCATCTTTCCTTCCTTTACATTTTCCTGTTTCTCTTCCTTTCCTTCCTGTCCATCTTTTCTTTCCTAATTTTCCATTTTCCTTATTTCTGACTTTCCTTAAGTCTTTCATCTGTCATCTGTCTTTCTCATTTTTTTGTTCCATTTCTCTTTCCATCTTTCCTTCTTTGCTGTCTTCCATCTTTCCTTGTGCCCTTTATTATGTGTTTATTCGATTTCTCCTGCCTCCTCTCTCTGTTTTCCTCTTATCACCTCCTCATCGTGGTTTCCTCGGCTCCTTCTGGCTGCTTGTGTAACTCTGATCAGTGAATCGGGTCACTCGGTCAGGTTATCAGCTCGGACACCTCCTGCCTGCTTCCTTTTATTTCAGTCCAGGTCAGTGGGACACCTCCACTCGTCTTTCATAACCGTGGGACCCCCCCACCGGGTCCTGCCTTTCCTTTTATTCACCTGTCTGGTTGTTTCTGGGCCACCAGGCAGCTAAAATGTCAGCCGGCGCCTCCGTGACGGCGATCAGAGACGCAGGCGTGAGGTTTGAGTCAGAAATAAAGGCTCATTGATGCCGACTCGGTGACTTTCTAAATCATGAATATCAGTCTTATTAAGGTCGTTAGTCATCAGCGCCTGACAGAAAGAAATGTCCCTGAGGACGGAGGAGCAGGTTCATACTGGGGGGAGGATGGCGCTGTGAGAGGCAGGAAGTGACCTGACGGTTTGGTCCACGCAGCGTCTGCAGGGTTTGAAGAATCGGTCGTGATGTGTCACCACTCGGTCAGCCTCACGTACGTCTGATATTGAGCACAAACACAGCAGTGCAGGTAAAAAGTCACACACTTACAACTACATGCTAACACGGCGTTAGCGTGGAAGCTCCTCGCTGTCAGTAAAGAGAACATCTGCTAAACGGGAGGAAACGCCATGGAAACGTCCGTAACAACAAACCAATTGAGGTGCTTGAATCACCTTCACACAGCTGACATTCAAAAGAAGCTAATGCTAAAGTAGGGCTGAGCGCCACCTACAAGCTAGTAGCCTCGGCATGAGCAACGAAACAGGTGGGAGACAAAAAGAGGAAACACGGATGGATGTCCTGCTTTCTGCTGAAATCCTCAATGTGCCAGAAAATAATGAAAATACCTGAAATGTGTTTAATACAAAGTCTGTTGCAGCTTCTTTTGTCTGGTCAGGTCCTCATCATCAGCGATCTCAGGGAGAAAACAACCTGCAGCTTGTGAATCTTTTCTTTTACAATCAAAACTTTTTGCATTGAAGGGAAACTGAGTTTGTTTTTTTCTGTCAGAGAGTTTTCTTAGAAAATCAGAGTCAATATCAGAAAAAACCTGAAATAAGCCGGAGAAAAAGAAGAAGGTAGCAGCTGGTTTGTGTTTTAGTCCATGCTCTGATCAGCCAATCACACAACCAATCATTTCACCCTCGACTCTTGAGTTTGAAGCCTGAAGCAACACGCAGTGCTCTCAGCGAGGACGACCTGCCGAGGCTGCGTTGTCTGTTTGGGACTCTCTGGGCTTCCTGTCCTGAGGTTTTGTTATGAAAGGACGTCTGTGAGCTCGCAGACGACCTCCACGAAGGTCCTCTCAGACCGAGTTAGTGATCGTTGTGTTACTTCACCTCTGACTCGTCCTTGTCTCTGTTTGCAGCTCCGGAGACGTCAAAGTCGGGGCGTCGTCTCAAGGTCTCGCTCCCCGCTACAAGAAAAGCCCGTGGACGGCGGCCACACTCGCCCAGGAGGCGCAGGAGCTCACTCGGACTGTCAGAGCCATCCTGGATGTCGACTGTAAGTGATCTCAGCTCCACGCACGCCGGTCTGCATGTCCTCCTCCTCCTGCACTTCCTGTCTGTGTGCGCCGCCCCGCATGAAGCCGAAACAAACGATCCCGCCGACCCGCCGCTGTGAGCGACTGTCCTCCCTGTTTCAGTGCTGAGCTTCTAGACGACCCGACTGTTGGAGAAGTCGTCGAGATGTCGGCCGGACTTCAGCATCCAGCCGCGATCCCCACCGCTCTCTCCCCAACACCTCCTCAGCTCCTGCTGAAGGACTCGCCGTGTCAGAACTCTGCATGAAAGCATCTGCACACAGAACAGCAGCTTTATTCCAGCGTTTTAACCTGCGTTCGCTGCAGGACGGGTCAGGTGTTTCACCTGGAAACACGACAGTTTGGTGCAGGTTAACTCACTCGATGAAGGCGTCTGTGAAGCTGAGCGGCTACATGAATGTTTTCAAGTTTGATGAGAGAACCAAAACCCGCAGCTCCACATTCACAATGACATGTTGTTAACTGCCTGAAAGTTTTCATATTGTTCATATTCGTAATAGAGCTCATATTTAAATATCATTACTTTCTTTGTCAAAGTGCTAATTAACTTTATGTTTGTAACCATTTTCAGCCCTCGCTGTTAGCATTATCAGCTAATTAGTGCTGAGGAACATCCGAATAAAACCAGCATTTGAAGGTCGGCTCTGCGGCGCTTTTTCAGATTCTTCACTAAATTTTAACGCATACAAAAACGTGAACGTTAATTAGCAGCCGACGCAGGTTCAACGTGACGTCACATTTTAAACATATAGATGTTAATAATCACTGTATGATGATGATGATGCAAAGTTCATATTGGTCTATCCATTAAATACAGGCGGCATGCAGACACACAGCAGCTTTATTATTGGTCAGTTAGACGTTATTTCTTTCTTGGTTTAAATCCATCTTATCTTTCCATCACTTCCTGTTATAATGGCACCAGAACTCACGATTAACCTGATGGGTGGATAAAACATTCATGTAGTGCTTTGACTCCCGCCCTGCCTCTGTCTCAATAAATATCTTTAACAAACAGTGTAAACAATATAAACTTACAGTATCATAAGGTTGCCATGTAGCTGCCGCTCCGCCACGAGCTCACACAGCGTAGATTACTGTAGTTTCTGTCTCATTGCTCAGTGTTTAGTGTCTGAGTGGCTGAACGCTCGTGTTTGTGCAGTAGATTAGCCAGTGAAGCATCATCGAACAGTACAGGAGGAGAAACCTGCACGCCGCCCCGCACGCGAACGCCATGTCAGGAAGGACGAAGGCTGCGCTAAAATGGGAACTCTGGGATTAAAGAGGCCTTCAGGGGCTTCGATGGTGTTTGGAGGTTTTGCTGTTTGTGTTTTCGGAAGCTGCAGATCCCGCAGCGTTCTCTGGGGAAAAGGATCAGCCGCTCTCAACCGTACGGTCGTGGCTTTTCTCTGAACAGCTGGGCTGCGACTGAGATTTTTAAAAAGGAATAATTTTTCATGTGAAATTGTCTGAGACGTAAAGACTGACAGAAGTTTTAGATTAAGGGTAAAAGATGTTAAAAAAAAATCCCACATTAAAATCTCTGAAACGACCGAACTGTTGTTGAATATTTTGTGCTTCCATTATCTCAAATATTTCCAACAACATTTTAATTCATGTCATTAGCATCACATCATCTTCACTCAGGCCACCACGCTGACGCAGTAAACCACAGAGGGACAGAAAGACCAGACGAGACTCAAAATGATCACAAATACATAAAAATCAAAGACTAAGAGGCTCAAGTGACACGAGGGCTTTGATTCAGTGAGTCTATTTGGAGGAAACACAGAACACACTGTCAGGTAACTCTCCAAGCGTCCTTGAATGCACCACCAGGAAGTGTTTGTCACGGGAACAAGGATGTAGTTCCCACAGGTGTTTCCAGGTGATACTCGCCGAGAAGGAAGGAGAAGCCTCAGGTACGCTGTGGTGCCGAGGAGAACGACAGGTATTCAGGAAATACA